CAATCGATAGTCTTGTCTATAGAACAATCTATAGTCTTGTCTATATAACAGTCTATAGTTTTGATTACAGAGCCGTTTATAGTCTCAACTAAAAAACAGTCTATAGTATTGACTATAGAACAGCCTATAGTCTTGACTAGAGTACAGTCTATAGTCTTGACTATAGAACAGTCTATAGTCTTGACTATAGAACAGTCTATAGTCTTGACTAAAAAACATTCTATAGTATTGACTATAGAACAGTCTATAGTCTTGACTATAGAACAGTCTATAGCCTTGACTATAGAACAGTCTATAGTCTTGACTATAGAACAGTCTTTAGTCTTGACTATAGAACAGTCTTTAGTCTTGACTATAGAACAGTCTTTAGTCTTGACTATAGAACAGTCTTTAGTCTTGACTATAGAACAGTCTATAGTCTTGACTATAGAACAGTCTTTAGTCTTGACTATAGAACAGTCTTTAGTCTTGACTATAGAACAGTCTATAGTCTTGACTATAGAGCAGTCTATAGTCTTTTGACTATAGAACAGTATTTAGTCTTGACTATAGAACAGTCTATAGTCTTGACTATAGAACAGTCTATAGTCTTGACTATAGAACAGTCTATAGTCTTGACTATAGAACAGTCTATAGTCTTGACTATAGAACAGTCTATAGTCTTGACTATAGAACAGTCTTTAGTCTTGACTATAGAACAGTCTTTAGTCTTGACTATAGAACAGTCTATAGTCTTGACTATAGAACAGTCTATAGTCTTGACTATAGAACAGTCTATAGTCTTGACTATAGAACAGTCTATAGTCTTGACTATAGAACAGTCCATATTCTTGACTATGGAGTAGTCTATAATCTTGACTATAGATCAGTTTATAGTCTTATCTCTAAATCTGTTTATAATCTTGACTGTAGATCAGTGTTATAGTCTTATCTCTAGATCTGTCTATAATCTTGACTATAAACTATAGTCTAGACTATAAACTATTGTCTTGACTATAGATCAGTCTATAGTCGTAACTATAGATCAGTTTATAATCTTTACTATATATTAGTCTATAAACTTGACTATGGATCTGTCTATATCCTTGACTATAGATCACTCTATACTGTAGTTCAGCTTTTCGAAAATACAATATTGTATTCGAAAATTTTCCATAAAAATTTAAACAATTTAAAAATTTGGAAGAAGTTTGAAAGTATTTCCAAAGTTTAAATTTATGATCTAAAAAACTTTCCCAAACTTCTATTATTTTAATAAAAATTAAAACAAACAAAATAACAATTTTCTTAGCTGATGCTGGTATTTAATATAAAATTCAAATATCTCTTTTCTTGTTTTTTTTTTTTTTTCTATATATATTTTTTCTTTAATATGTATTGAATGTATATATAACATTTAAAATTTCTTTATAAACTATAAATACATAAAATGTATAAAGTTTAATTTATATATATTTAGGGGAAAGAAACAAATAAATAATTTTTAATACAATACCAAATAAAAAATTAAAAAAAGAAAATTAAAAATAAAAAGCTGCCAAAATATAAAAAATTAAAAAACAACACAGACAGTAAGAGATTTAAGTTAAAAAGTAAAAGCGAGAGTTTTATGATTACAAGTTTAAAGAACAATAATATAATTTAAAAGTAAAAAAAAATAATATAAAATTATACATTTAAAAAAATATATATATTTATGTAGGTAAATTAATAATTTGTGATAAGAAAACTTACAACTTAAATACTGTATGTAGAGAGTAAATAGTAAAATTCTAATTTATATATACTGGTGCTTATAATTCTGTGTTTTAAGAGATTAATACAAAAAATGTTTTTTTTTTAGATTTTACATTTGATCATTATTATTTAATTATTTTTTTTCATTAAAATGTTTTTAAACATTTTATTTTCAGTTGTGTTTGTTAAATGAATTTTCTGGTTTTAGGTTTTAAATAATTTTATTTATTTTTTTTTTTTAATGTTTTATATTTTATGTGGGTTTTTCTTTCTTTTTTTGCTTGTTAAGAGTCTAAAAACTAAGTACAACAAATACAAATATTTATAAATTACAAAGTACAATGTCTTATTATTAATTATGTTTCTTTTATTTATATGTATAATAAACTGCTTTATATTTTAGTTATATTTATTTGTAAATTATTTTTTTTTTTTTTTTTTTTGATGCCTTCTTTTTATATAGTTCACTTGTTTTGTTTTTGTAAAAAATATGTATGTTTTTTTGTGTTTAAGGAAAAAAAACTTGTTTTTAATATTTTATTTATTTTTTTAATATGTTTTTAGTAGGTAAATATAAAAAATACTGCTTAGTTAGTTTTGCGAAAAAAATACAAAAAATTAATACATTAATTTATATTAAAATTAAATTAAAAAAAAACTTAACTTATTGCATAAAGAAACTAAATTATTTTTTAAGTTATAGTTGTGTTTTTGTTGTTAATTTTATGAGTATATTTAAAAAAAATTATTTATTATTATGTTTGTTATATTTGTTTAAGAGCAATGTTGTTGTTTTTCTTTAAAAACTGTGTTCCAAAGAAAATTTTGAAGTTTTTTTTTTTGTAATTTGTTCGTGTTTTTTTTTCAAAATTATAAATATTTTACTTGTTTGTCTTGAAATTTTGAGCAAAAAACAATTATGAAATAAAAATATTAATAATATATAAACTTTTTGTTGAAACAGTCTTAGCTATAGATCAGTCTATAGTCTTAACTGTAGATCAATCCTTCGCCAAACTATACATCACATCATAGACTTAACTGTAGATCAGTCTTGACTATACAATAGTCTATAGTCTAGACTATAGAACAGTCTATAGTCTAGACTATAAAACAGTCTATATACAGAATAGTATAGAACAGTCCATAGTCTTGACTATAGAACAGTCTATAGTCTGGACTACAGAACAGTCTGGACTATAGAACAGTCAATAGTCTGGCCTACAGAACAGTCTGGACTATAGAACAGTCTATAGTCTGGACTACAGAACAGTCTGGACTATAGAACAGTCTATAGTCTGGACTACAGAACAGTCTGGACTATAGAAAAGTCTATAGTCTGGAGTATAGAAAAGCCTATAGTCTGGACTATAGAACAGTCTACAGTCTTGACTATAGAACAGTCTATAGACTTGACTATAGAATAGTATAAAGTCTTGACTATAGAACAGTCTATAGTCTAGACTATAGAAAAGTCTATGGTCTAGACTATAGAAAAGTCTATGGTCTAGATTATAGAACAGTCTATAGTCTAGACTACAGAACAGTCTATAGTTTAGACTACAGAACAGTCTACAGCCTTGACTATAGAACAGTCAATAGTTTTGACTATAGAACAGTCTATAGTCTTGACTATAGAACAGTCTATAGTCTTGACTATAGAACAGTCTATAGTCGTGACTATAAAAAAGTCTAAAGTCTTGACTATAGACCAGTCTATAGTCTAGACTATAGAAAAGTCTATGGTCTAGACTATAGAAAAGTCTATGGTCTAGACTATAGAACAGTCTATAGTCTAGACTACAGAACAGTCTATAGTTTAGACTATAGAACAGTCTACAGCCTTGACTATAGAACAGTCAATAGTTTTGACTATAGAACAGTCTATAGTCTTGACTATAGAACAGTCTATAGTCTTGACTATAGAACAGTCTATAGTCTTGACTATAGATCAGTCTATAGGCTTGACTAAGGATCAGTCTATAGTCCTGACTATAGATCAGTCTATAGGCTTGACTAAGGATCTGTCTATAGTATTGACTATAGATCAGTCTATATATAGATCAGTCTATTATAGTCTTGACTATAGGTTAGTCTATAGTCTTGACTATAGAACAGTCTCTAATCTTGACTATAGATCAGTATATAGTATTGACTATAGATCAGTCTATAGTCTTGACTATAGATCAGTCTATAGTCTTGACTATAGATCAGTCTATAGTCTTGACTATAAATCAGTCTATAGTCTTGACTATAGATCAGTCTATAGTCTTGACTATAGATCAGTCTATAGTCTTGACTATAGATCAGTCTATAGTCTGGACTATAGATCAGTTCATAGTCTTGACTATAGATTAGTCTATAGTCTTGACTATAGAACAGTCTCTAATCTTGACTATAGATCAGTCGGTAGTCTTGACTATAGGTCAGTCTATAGTCTTGACTATAGATCAGTCTATATTCTTAACTATAGAACAGTCTATAGTCTGGACTATAGATCAGTCTATAGTCTTGACTATAGATTAGTCTATAGTCTTGACTATAGATCAGTCTATAGTCTTGACTATAGATCAGTCTATAGTCTTGACTATAGATCAGTCTATAGTCTTGACTATAGATCAGTCTATAGTCTTGACTATAGATTAGTCTTTAGTCATGACTATAGATTAGTCTTTAGTCATGACTATAGATCAGTCTATATTATTGACTATAGATCGGTCTATAGTCTTGACTATAGATCAGTCTATAGATCAGTCTTTAGTCTCGACTATAGAACAGTCTTGATTATAAATCAATCCTATAATCATGGCTATTGATCAGTCTGTAGTCTTGACGGTAGATCAGTCTATAGTTTTGAATATAGAAAAGTCCTTTATCTTGGCTACAGATCTGGCTATAGTCTAAACTATAGATCATTTTATAGTTTATAGATCAGTCTATAGTCTAGACTATAGATTAATGTATAGTCTATAAATTTGTTTTTGTAGCTGATTGCTTAAAAAACTCAAAGTTTATAAATTATTAAAAAATAAAAAATAATTGAACTTTATAAACGAATAAGTGTTCTTTCTTGTCCTTAACCATGTTGTGGAAAGAAAGCTAGTGATAGTTTTAATATTTCCAAATATTGATCCTAAATTTTCATAAAAATTCTTTTATAATGAGCGATGTGTGTGTAAGTGAGAGAGTAAATGGAAAGATTGTTAGTTTAAGTGTTTACAATGTCAAGAAGTGTGCATTGTAATAATATATTTCTGTTAGGTTTTATTATTGTTAAAAATCTTTATTTTTTTTTATTTGTGTGTGTTTTATAACTATATACTAATTAATTAATATCAAGCCTTGTTTAATTAGTTAAAATTTGAATAAAGTTAGTTCTTAAATTGTATGTATAATTTTTTGTTTTGTTTTTTTTTTTATTATTTATTATTATTTCACTTACGATTGTTTTACTAAACATTTTGTTTTGCTTGTGTTTGTGTGTGTGTGTGGGTTTTATATGATTTAAAATCCTTTATTTTTGGATTTAAATATTGAAAAGTTTCTTTTTTTTATTTATTCGCTGTTATATTTGAGTTGTTGTTGTGTTTGTTGTTGCTGATGTTGCAATTGATATCATGAATGTTTATCAGTCAATTCGGCCCAACGCATTTCAAAGAATTTACGCATACCATGACCAGCTTTGCCCACCGGCGAGTCGTCTTCATTAAACATTTCACAATTGTCGAAAATCTGTCGTACATCAACACAAAAATCTTCTCGACATTTGTAGCTGGAAGTCAGAAAAGTAATAATAATGTTAATAAGGACTTGTGTAAAAAAAAGGAGCTTATGGTTAATTTACCTTAAATCTTGTAGTCTTTTCTTAATGGTGGATAAATCCATGGGATTTTTTATGATTTTACGATACGTGGGAAATTGTTTGGTATTTACTGGCAACAGAAAAGGCCAAGAATCTTCATGTAGCTATATAAGAGAAGTCAGAGAAGATGTTCTTTTAGTATTATATGTCTTTGCTAAGAAGTAGCTTTAAAAATTTACCTCCATTTCACTTAAAACGGTTTTGCATACGGCCAATTCTTTCATTAACTTTTTGGTGGCATGTTTTTCTTTTTTCTCTTGTTTCAACTTTTCCTTGGCCTCCTGCACGGCATGTATATTTATGGGAGGTGGAGGTCCTAGAGCAGTAGGTGGTGGTGTTGTCACCGCGCTGCTAGAAACCACCATCATGGAGGGCGAAGTAGCTGGAGCGTGCAGCTGTGGTGAATGCTGGCTGGCGGAACCATGATGCAGCTGTTGTTGTGTGGGTGTTGAGGAACGGGATGATGATGTTACGGAGGAATGTTGTGGAGAGGAAGTAGCACACATTAGATTCCCAGTGACACCAATGGGTGGAGTGGGTGCTGCTGCTGTTATATTGGGTAAAAGTGGCATTTGATTTGGTAAAGTTGTAGCAGTTAAAAGACCGCCGCCTGTGGCCGTTGTTTGTGTTATAGATGGTGGTACAATAGTTGCTAAAGCTAACGGAGCAGTTGTAGCTGCTGTTATGGTTGACGGTGTGGGTGGTGGTAGTGAGGGAGCTGCTATCACGGCCGCTGAACTGGGCGGTACCAATTTTGTGGTATTAAGGGGATATGGCAAATGATTTGTTTGATTTGAACCGATTTGTTGTAGTGGCGTTGGTGCGCTGAGATTGGCAAAATGTGATGGTGATGACATTATTTGTCCTTGAGGTGGTAAGAGTCCTGCCGTACTGGGCATACAATTAAAACTTTGTTGCTGTTGTTGTGTTGGTGGCGTTGAGGTCGGTATAGGCGACATCATGGGAAGTATGTTTGCTGCAGTAGCTGGTGTTTGTTGTAGTGCCTGTTGCTGCTGCTGTGTATGAAGCATAGCCACATTTCCTGCTGCTGTTGCAGCTGTATTGCTGCCTAATGCTGTTGTGGTTGTTGTTGTTGTACCATCCATGCTGGTATCATTGAATTCATTGTTTGTGGTTTGTGGACTTAAAGCACCTTGACGATTTGTTACTTGATTTTGGAAGCGCGTTGTATCGATAGAGTTGTTATGATGATCATCGAATGAGGTTGAGGCCACAGAATGTGCGGGACTAAAGAGAAATAAAGAAAGAATATTCAGGTTTGAGTTTAAACTTTATTTTGATTTAGAGACTATATTTTCACTGCTTTTAAAACTTTTCGAACTTAAGTTCGAATTTTCTATTTTAATTTCGAATTTTCAAACATTACCTAAAAAGCATAATTTTGCAATTTTTATACAAAATTATTCAATTTCTTTAAAATTTTTGAAAATTTTGAAATTTTTTTTCAAAAATTTTAAGTTCAAATTTTCGAAAATGTAAGAAATTGCACTCAAATAATAATAAAATTAGATTTTTATGAATCCTCATGCTTAAAAGGCCATTTTAACAGGTTTATATTTTTTCACACTTAAGTTTGAATTTTCGATTTTAATTTCGAATTTTCGAACATTACCTAAAAAGTATAATTTGGCAATTTTGATGCAAAATTATTCAATTTCTTTAAAATTTTTGAAAATTTTGAAATTTTTTTCAAAAATTTTAAGTTCGAATTTTCGAAAATGTAAGAAATTGCACTCAAATAATAATAAAAATCAATTTTTATGAATCCTTATGCTTAAAAGACGATTTTAACAGTCTTATATTTTTTCGAACTTAAGTTCGAATTTTCGATTTTAATTTCGAATTTTCGAACATTACCTAAAAAGCATAATTTTGCAATTTTCATGCAAAATTATTCAATTTCTTTAAAATTTTTGAAAATTTTGAATTTTTTTTTTCAAAAATTTTAAGTTCGAATTTTCGAAAATGTAAGAAATTGCACTCAAATAATAATAAAAATCGATTTTTATGAATCCTCATGCTTAAAAGACCATTTTAACAGTCTTATATTTTTTCGAACTTAAGTTTGAATTTTCGAACATTACCTAAAAAGCATAATTTTGCAATTTTCATGCAAAATTATTCAATTTCTTTAAAGTTTTAAAAAATATTGATATTTTTTTTTAATTTAAAGTTCGAATTTTCGAAAATGTAAGAAATTGCACTCAAATAATAATAAAAATCGATTTTTATGAATCCTTATGCTTAAAAGACGATTTTAACAGCTTTATATTTTTTCGAACTTAAGTTCGAATTTTCGATTTTAATTTCGAATTTTCGAAAATATCTCAAAAAGTTTAAATTTTCAAATAACAAACAAAGTGAATAAAATTCTTTGCAATTTCTTGAACATTTTGTCATTTTTTTTCCAAAATTATTAAGTTTGAATTTTCGAAATTAAAAACTCACCTCAACGGTGCCGGCAGCGATGTCATCGACTCATCATGCGATGAATTATGAATATTATGATGATCGGCCGATGTATTCAACTGTTCACAACTGGACGATGTATTATGATGTTTATCTTTGCGTTTCGATAGCGAGGCGGATGAATCACGTTCACGGCGAGGTTTACTAGTGGAGGAACGTTTTTTCGGTGGTGGTGCCTTTGAAATGCAACCATGACAATACCATTTGCCACGCGGCACTTTCAACAGTGGAGGAATGTAACAATCGGCATGATATGCACGAGGACACAAATCACAATAGATCATTTTGCCAACCGGTGCGGGACGATGACCGCCACAAACAATACATTTACGTTCATTAGTAGCCTTATTAACACACTCATAGCAATACCTTAAAGAAGAGGGAAGAGTGGAAAGATTAATGAGTATTTAAAATTTTAGTGAAATGCTAAGAAATTTTTGTGTTTTTTGTTTTAGATTAGTGCTTTTAAAAAGGTGACAACATGGGGGGAGGAGTTTAATTTAAAAAATTCTTTATTTTAGTTTAAAGACTGAGACAAACAAATAACGATTAAACGATTGATTGGCTGATTGATTGACTTGACTGATTGATTGATTAATGAAATGATTTTTATGTAAAAAAACAATAACAATTATAAGAAAACAATAAAAATTAGTTGCCACCAAAACTTTTTTTAAAAAAAGACTATAAATTCGGAATTGTTTGTGTTGTTATAATGAGTCATATTATACTTACCAATCACCATCGGGTATATTCTCCATTTTCGGTTTGAAACAGTAGGTATGATAACCCTTATCGCAGCCATCGCACAGCAAGAGTTTATCCTCATTTCGCCAGATGTGCAGAACTGGCAATTCTGTAAGGAATTCGAATATTTGGAAGATTTTGTAGATGATGTTGATTTTTTACGGCTTCTACCTAATTTTTTAGTATTTGTTGTTGTTGTTTTGGTGGATTTTAAAGTGGAAAAGGAGGAGGTGTTGGAGCAAGGACTAGAGGAGGAGGTTTTATGGGATGTTGAGGTGGTGGTGTTGTTGTTGTTGTGGGTATTTGTGGTTGTTAATT